AGGGCCTCCTGGGCATCATCTGGGCTCTTAAATGATTATGCAGTGACAGTTATAAAGCAGGTAGGCAGGTGTGAGACCTCAGGCTGACGCTAGGTCAGGTGGAGCCAGACCCCTGAGGGCGTCTGGGGATGTCGCCATTAGCGTCCAGGCTGCAGTGGCCAGTAAGGCCCGTTCCGTGCCAGTGGGGTGGAGGGAGAAAGCCAGTCCTCAGTACCAGCCACACAGGGTTTCAGCCAGAAGCTCTTTCTGCGATTCGCCAAACTCCGCTGTTCTCATTTCAGGAGTTTTGTTTAGTGAGGGCAGCTGGTAGTTCAGTGTTCGCAGACGCCCTGGTCCTCCCTTATACCACACTCAAGCCTAATACTTGTTTACTATTTTTTAAAATCTACTGAATATTTTAACTTAGGCATTTTTTCAGGAAGTTCACCTAAGAAATCCTAAGGTTGTAACCATTATATTTTTCCTAGGACACATTAAGATGCAGATATGGCATTTAAGTTTTAAAATGTTCAACAGTACCCCACCACAAATTCATCCTGCGTGCCCCCCTGAGCACCGGGAGCATGGACGAAGTGTGGGCTTTGGGGTTAGGCCTGACCCCGCTCTGTCTCCACCAGCCTCACTAAGCTCCCACCTGTACCTTCCCAGGAGGGCCCGGGCACAATGCATGTAACTGCTGGCCAGGTCGGTCACCCCCTGGCTTCAAAAATAATAAGCTGTTAGATGTTTTCTAACTTCCCAAGGTCCTACTATAGTAACTGATCTCTGTGAAATGTGAGGTATTTAAGTATTTCCAGTGGGTATGCTGGCATTTCACTCAATAAGAAAACATGGGCGCAGTTTATAACAAAGCCAATATTACCATCAGTATAAAAAAACCGCTAAAATCACTTTCATTCTTCAAGCTTTACGCTTATGATTTGTGTACTTTTCTCTTTCTATGGTGTCCTCCAAGAAAAAGCTTACAATAAAAGGAGAGAACTCCCAGGAGAGTTCATTCAAATAAACTTGGACATGGATGGGTTAAGCCAGAGACAAGATATTTTTACAGAAAGATGGACAATGAATGCAGAGAAAGTATTCAGGTAGAATGAAGAGAATAAGAAAGATTTATACAGCTGAGTTTTGGGAGTCTCATTACAGACTGTTGTTTCCAAGTCTAAGAAGAGACTCCATAACAAATGGATTCCAGTCAAAAGAAAAACTTGAAAATCACCCTTCAGTCAGTCTACTAAACTGGCTTTTTTCCCCACTGATTTGAAGGAAGATTATAGTTTCTTTTTTTATAATAGTTTTCACACCTTGTCAGGTAATTTGTTTTTTTTCTTCCTTTTAGCTTCAAGTAAATATGTTTCCAGCATTATATCATCAGAGTCATAGACATTTTAAATGCAGGTGTTCTTCTTTCAAATACTTAGAAAATATAAGAACTTTTCATCTCAGAAATGTGTTATGATGATATAGAGAGGGAATTGAAATAAACTGTAACTCAAAATAATATGCAACCCTAGCAGCTATGTAAACACAAGGATGCGAAGAAGAATATACAATAGAAAGTCTCTTAAAATATACATGAAAGCGGAAAGGAGCAAAGAACACATTTAAAAAGGTATCGTTGGAAACAGATATTTTTATCTAAGAGAAAATTACTGTTAAGGATTGCTTGTATTTCTAGGTGGCTCAAGTTATGGTGAAGAAAATAAGTTATAATAAAATGTTAGGAAGCCCGAGTGTGCCCTAGCAGGAATACCTAGACATAGACTAAAACCAGGGTGGGCAGAAACCTGGAGGTTGCCAGGAGGGTGATCGCGAGGCACTCGGCTTTCCTGTGGCAGCCTCAGCCCAGGCCCCCGGTGCCTCCCGTCCCTGGGTCAAGTCCCGGTGACAAGCAGTGGGTTAACCGTCCTCTATCACTCCCCTCACACCCTGTCAGACTACAGTCTACACTCGGCCTCCTGCTCTGGCCAACACAAGGGTTTCCTTAATGGAAGATCTGACACCTCCGATCAGAATTTTCAGGAAATTCCATAATCAAAGGACATAAATGCTAGATAAGAGAGCTTAGTATACAGTTCTCAAAAGCAGTGATTCAGCATCATGGCTTATGTGCTCGAATCATGTGCTACTACCTGGCAGTCTTGTCTTTCATAAGCATTGTGTGCCCTTTAGAACTGCTGTGCTTCCCCGGGTCCATATGACTCAAGTTGTTGATAAATACACAACGAGAATCAACTCGTGTGACCCTTGAGGATAAAATAAGGATACTTGTCAACTCATCAACAAATAAGCATTTTACCCCTATGAAGTACAAAAGCACTGCTCTTTGTGTGCTGTATACTTGTATTCAACTGGCTTTTTGAGATCTCTTGGAAGTTTCAAAGATAAAACAACTCAACTTGTGTAAGAGGAGACCTCGTGCTCCTCTACAGGGCCTCCCACCTCAGTTAATGATGCCTCCGTCTACCCTCCAATTGCCTGAGAACCTGGGGTTGGTCCTGCCACACCCACTCCCCATAGCCAATGCCCAGCAAACCCTGTACATATCTGCTAAGTATCTCGTCAATCTCTTTCATTCTTCCCATCTTGATTTTTGATGTGTGCCTCTCTTTAATAATGTCTACCCTTCCCAGTGGACATTAAGCTCCACTAATCAGAGACTATATCTTTTTTTTTCTCTCACTATTTAATTCTAAGAATCTAACAAAATTTCTGATACAGACTATGCCCTCAATAAGTGGATTGAATAAATGGATGAGTAAATACACAGCACCTGTCAGGGCAGTAATAACTCAGGGATCCATTTTCATTTTCAACGCCAAGCAGTCAGTAACATATTCATTCAGTGGTTTCTGAAAACTTATGTTCATCCAAAACCCTGCACACAGATGTCTAAAGCAGCTTTATTTGTCCAATGGCTTATATTTTTTTCAATTGCAAGTGAAAAAAAAAAAAAGAAGTCAAGCGGCTTAAGCAAACTTGGATTAATTGGCACACGCATTTGAGCATTCTAAGACAGGACTTCCCTCAGTGACGGCCCGTCAGTGACGCCTGACCATGGCCTTGTTTCTCTTCCTCCACTGTGCACCTGACTTCTTCATCAGACGCCTGCTTCTCAAGTCACCACTTGACATGAGTCACAAGATGGCTGCCTCAGCACGTGTCCTGAGTCCAGCAAGAAAATCGGAGCTTTTCTATTCCTAAGTTGGCAAAATGTCCCGGGCCTGACTCTCATTGGCCAGACTGGGCCATGTGCCCACTCCTAGACCAATCACTGTGGCTTACACTAATCACAGACCATTCCTGGAGTTGGCAGTATAGACAATTCCGGTTAAACATCCTAGTCTAAGTTGGCGGAGGGGCGAGTTCCCAAAGGAAACTTTTGTCATAAAAAGGAAGAATGTTTTCAGTATGGCAAAAACAACCAACAACAGATGCCCACTGCGGGGCTCTGATGCCTTTCGGTTATTGCTGTCACCAGAGCAGAAAAATACTGACATCTACAGAAAAGCTTGTGGAAATGGTGTCCTCAGATAACAGAGAACTATAGCATACATCTTAGCCCTTCGATGTGGGTGGCAGGGTTAGGGCAGGGTATTAACACGCAGAAATCAGTATTTAGAACAAATAAATTAAAGCCCCAAACCGACACATAAAGGTATCAAAACAAGACTAAGAAGCCTGATCGGATGAAGTCATGAGGCCAGAGCCACGTGGCCCAGCACAGAACGCATTTCCTTACCCACCATGGACAGGGTGACCAGCGACTGACTGAAAATTTGACTTGTTGAAAAACACTGCCACATACAATCATATATGTGTAGTCATTCAGACTCTGGTGTCCAGAGTGGGCCAAACCAGATGAGCAGCCCACCCACTCCTCACTTTTACAGAAATCTGTCTGTATGTACATACAGGTTAAATGAGGATGCAAAAACTAACAAGATCTAAGACAACAGAAGGCAGAGCAGGACTCACTGCAGAGGCAAGTGCTACAGGCGAAAGTGCCTTCAGAGCTGGGAGGAGACAGGTCAGCTCAGGCCGAGCTCTTCAGGGACAAATGCAGACAATATTCTGTCCTTCACATCAGAAGATGACACAGGAAACAGAAAAATATGAGCTTTTACTTGCTTTTATCCCCCTAGTAAGTAGTAACGTCTTGGAAGTGATTCTGCCATATATTGTTACCCTGTCTCTCCTGAGATGCATTTACAAATGGGGAAGGATGTTATCTATAACCACGGAAACACAAGGTTGTTGTCAGTTCCTGGGCAGTGTTAGGAGCTAGCATTCTTAATGAGATTCCACTATGAGCAAGGCCGGAGCCCCAAAGGACAGTAACATCCTCCCCTCCTCCACCCAGGGGATGATGAGGAAAAGGTGGTGTCCAGAGGCTCAAGCACCTCAAATTATCAACCGGAACAATGCGATCACACAACCCGCAATCACCTGTTCGCAAGTCTGCCCCACCAATGTTTTCTGTGCCACAGGCACACGGCTAACCTCCTCCTGTATGCAGCCCTAGTCTCTGTGCCTCGCGAAGGAGCGATAACCCTCTGTATCTACTGCCCAAATCAGCTCCTCCTCCTCACAATGTATTTCCTTCTGTTTTCTCATCATTTTTTGCAAGATTGAAAATAGGACAGCTGTACCATTTTCAGGGAAACACCTCTTATTTTAGTTTCTTTTGTGTTCACCTTCTCTGATGATGTGAATTTCCCAGACAGCCCCACTTACTCTATGGTGTTGTTAGAGAATGTTCTAAGGCCATGCCGCCTAGGTTGACCACTACCTTGGGAAAACTTACTGTGAGCGCTTAACCAACTGAGCCACTCGGCCAGCCCGTTAAGAATTTTTAAAAACCCTAATCTTGATAATTAAATGGTTAGTAGCAGTGTTGACCCATCTGTTTCTCATTAAGTCACATTTGGAGCATGTATACATCAAATTTAGAAAGAGTTATATGGATATTTGCTGATTAAATAATAAGCAAAATCGGTGGATGTGATTCGTTTTTAATGTTTAATGACAATCATTGTTTTGCTACAGGTTAACTAGGCATAACAGGACAGGGGACGTAAATAAGCCATAATGAGTCCATTGCAACACAAAGCAAATCATCAGTTTTCCTCTCTCAACTTTGTTAATTTTCCTGTGTCATGTAGACATTTTTTTCCTAATACTGTTTCATCTTTTTTCCTTCCTCGCTTATATTAACAAACATGTACAATGAAATGTTTGTATCTTGACAGACCCCTGTGTTCTGAGTTCTCTGGTCCCAAACCTTAAAGCTTTATGAGTAAAATAATCTGAGCTCCTTTCTTTCTGATTCCTGGCTGGGAAACTGGAGGCAGAAGAAACACTGGCCAGGAGGCTGTGTCTGGCCTTTGGGAATCTCAGGTGCTGACGGGGAAGCAACAGAGTGCTGGCTCGGTGGCTGCCGGGTCCATGACATTAGGGGGTAAGAGGAGAAGACTGAGAGGCGAGGCGCTGAGCTGGAGGGAGGTGCAGGTGAGGAACAGGCGTGGGGAGTGATCCTGCTCTTCCTGTCCCATCTCTCGTGGGGGTCAGTGAAAGTTCATGGGCTTGGAGGTGATGCTCTCATCTAACTGCACCAAAAAGCCCTTTTACATACCCAAAGGGCTTCAGCCCACTAGTGAAAATGCAGAGCTTAAAAATAGAAATATTTGAGATAGATTGGTCTATTTATTCCACTCAACCTGTAAATGAGGATCCCAGAATCTTTCTTATTTTGAGTGGAGGAACCAGTTACAAAATAAGCACAAACTGAAGGTTGGGTAGGGTTGAGGACAAGCCTGGGAAAGGAAAAAGGGAACAGATGGGGAGGTCTGAGACGAGAGGACTCCGATGATGCTCAGGAACTCGAGGGGGCGCTGGAGTAACAGGCCTTCCTGCTCCGGGCGCATCTGTTCTCCAGCAGTGACTCTGGATAGAGGTACTGCGCAGTTTACACAGGAAGGAATGGAGGCTTAAAGGGGTTCAGGGGTGGCCAGTGGTCCCAGCGCTGGTAACTGACAGGCCTATGAGAAGCTCAGGCCGAGGCCGGCATCTGCCTGTACATCCCACACATGTCATTTTGCTGCTTCTGCATCTTACTGGACTTCAGAATCATTGGAAAACTTCGTTTGCAAGAGAATTCATCACCAAGCTTCAGCAGTACACTAAAAATTACGTTACAGCGTTCAACTATTAAACTTATTCAAGGAAGACGATATAGTTTTTAACTTATTTTCTCATCCAATTTAACAATACACAATAAGCCACAGTACAATTGACTGGCTAAGGGGAAAAACTAGCCAAGAACATTTATTTCTGTACAAGACTTTTTAAAACTCCACTTTTATAATCTACAAGGATGGTTCACTAATTTTTCAAAATTGTAACCTCATGTATAATGTCATATTTTTATGGAAAATGACTTGAGTCCTTCTTTTCCTCATTCTACAAATAAAAAGTCTTTGACCTTTCCTCAAAATAATTTTCAGCTTAGGCCATGGAATGGCATTAATTATAGAGAGATGTTATAATGAACGCCCACGGCCTGAAACAGAATTCGTAGACGTTCAAAATGAACGGGGAAAGCTGTCACTTGAGATGCTTTTTCTTCCCAGGCTGTTCACACAGCCTGACTTCGATGTTGCCCTCGCTGAACGCCTCTCCTCTGGTCTCCTCCACGGGGTTCTCTCTCCAGCAAAGCACTGCTTTCTTCTGCGTCATTGTCATTCCTGAATTCCTACGTCTTCGTGCTGGAGAGAAGGGTTCCTTGACTATGCAATAACAAACTGCAGATAGGAAGTTTTTTTTGAAGTTTTCATTCAAAAAGGCATAAACAATGGGATTACAGATGGAATTGGAAAACCCAATTATTTGCACTATGGCGAAAGTCATCTTGATCGTGACATCGTCATGTTCCTTTTCAAAATTGCCTGAAATAAAGAGAAATACTTGAGAATGCATATTTGTTTTGATGAGCATAAAACTGAATTTCTGTTTATCATCCATCTTTACCACACGATTGGTGATTGGACAAGTGATTAAAGGTGAGAAAAATTCTCAAGACGATTTTGGGGAGAGCCATGGATGTCCAAAGACAAATAACTTTGTGACGAGTCTTCCTTCTTAGACAACTGAGGCGCACAAGCCCAGCCCGGCACCCAGCACATATGGGGGGACTCCAGCCCTTCAACCTGATTCCAAGCTTCCTGTAAACTGGGAGCAGGAGTGACTCTTCAGGTGTTCATTTGTGTTATATTGTAGAAACACAGTTACCTGAGAACCACATGACGCCTCAGATGATTAGAGAGCATTCACGGAGGGACTGGCTGAAATGCTAAGCGTTATTAAATTCACGTGGTTCAAGTCAGGGTTCTCAGTGGGGAATGCTCGTAGGATGTCACAGCTCTCCCATATTGAAATAACTTAAGGAGAACAGAGGCATGGCATGCAATAAGAATCTCAGGAGCTTCTCTTGCTCTTCTGTAATTATTAAAGATTTAGTCATAATCATACGTAATTATCTACCATGGAATGACCTAGTGGTGTCAAAAACGTGAAAGAAACCTACAAGTTCGTATTTGATTACCCAAGTGAATGGCAACAAATGTCAATGGTTCATTGTCCGTTATGGCAGGAAATAAACTAGAACTTCCGTCAAATGAGAATGACAGGCACTCACTGTATTCAATCATCATGTGAACGATGTGGAAAGGTGCCCAGCACACGGCGAACAGAGCCACCACTGTCACCATCATGATGACAGCTCGCTTCTTCTTCCTGGACTCACAAGGATACAGTCAGTGTGTTAGGGAACTTCTCCTTGCCAAGAGTGTCAAATCGATGGCAAAGCTATTCAATAATAAACTTTGAGCCTAGACCTCATAACCATAATTTTTCAAATATTGGTGAAGTCCGTGATCGGTCAGACATGGGCTGTCTGTCACCTTCCCATCGCTATTGCCGCAGCCCCGTATTCCTCACATTATGAACACCCCCGTGATGTGTGCCCGCTGTGGACCCGGCACTGTGCTGGGTGCTTGGCCCGGCTCATGCCAGTGATCTTCCCAGCAAGCCGTTTGGCAAACGCAGAAGCCGAGGCACAGAGAAGCTTAAGTAACTTGCAAAGTCAGGTAGCTAGTGAGGGATTTAAACTAATCAGGGCTAGTTTGGATTGAAACGAGGCAGTCTAACTTCAGCGCCTAAACTCTTACTCATTTTATACTGAAGAGCATGCATGCCTGTGATAGAAAAAGATCAATATTTATGAGCTATGGGAAGCCCTGTATTTACAGGATATAATTAAAATGTAATCCTTTATCGTATCTCTAAATAACATGATTAACCAGGATTTCAAACTAGTTTTCTCCATTCCTCCTGTGAAGGACATTACATCTGTAAGGGAGCTACACATTTGCATGGTGCTTTACATGTATCAAAAGTCATGTTCATTATTTCTTATTTAACCATGGCAGCCCTTTCTCCTGAGGAAGTCCGAGGGCAGCGAAGTTCCAAGGCGCTGGGCAGAGAACGGGGACGTCTTTATACACACTGGGCACTAGGGGTCGCTGCCCACTTGAAGAAATCATGATAAAATCTCAAACCACTGAACTTCTCAGATTTAGTTTTGTTTTTCATGGTTGCTCCAAACAGATTATAAAATCAGCCATGTGAACTACAAGTACCATAGCAGTAAATTGTGTTTTAAATTCTCTATTAATGAGTGCGGTCAGAAAGCAGAGCCCTCGGGTGAAAATGAACTCTATCGATAATGAATAATTTAGAGCAAACGGCATGCTCTGGTTTCCAGAGGGTTTTCCAACACATCATCTCACGTATTTAGCATCATTCTCGGGCCGGAGGAGGAAGGACAGACGGATGTTGCTTGCTCCCTGGTACATGATGAATGCAGGGCTGTGGGCGGGAGCTTGGCCCACATCACGTGGCTGGTGATTGGCAGGCAGGAGAGAGCCCACAGCTCCTCCCACCATATCGGAATGATACGTAGATGAAAACCAAGCAATTTCTAAATTCCGTGTAAGTTTCTGTCTATGACTGTGGCTTCCCCCTTTGATTTGGGAGCTGGTGATCGTGCTCTTTCTTCCTGCCATACCTATCATCTCAAAAGGCTAAAGACAGCCCACTCCCTACCTGTGAACGACAAATGATGCTAAGTTACCCAGGCCTTCTGAGATCCCTGGTAACCGTCCCTTCCAGCAAATTAAAAATATTTTGAACAGAGGTGACTGTTTCATTAAACCAACCTGGCTATTTTTGACATTTCTTTTCCGTGAATGGTTCGGAGCACGGAGCTGTCCCCCACTCTCTTGTTGACCCAGAGTTCATAACCGATTTTACTGTACAGGCTGAGCATCACCACGAGGGGCAGGAGGAAGAGGGTGACAAGGATGAAGGTGGTGTAGGTTTTCTGGTGCGCAGGGCTGGCCCACTCTTCCAGGCAGCAGACGTGCTCTTTTTCATACAGGAAGTCATACTTAATCTTTAAAATAAGAAGGATTCTGTTAGGAGAGCCGGCAGTCAGCATCACGGTACAGAAAGCAGCCGGGTACTGCGGTCATGCAGCCGTTTTGACATCCTAACGCATTTTCCACGGGTACCTACTTCAAATAACATCCAATTTTGATTGTTCTTTTGTTGTGAAGAGTATGCTTTTTAATCTTATTGTTTAAACTTTTCAGGGTTTTATACTTTCTTTTCTGTTTTAAATGGAATTGGGGTCCAAGGCCTGCTCACTTACCTTTCTCACCTTTTTACACTATAGTCTTAAGTTTTCAGTCGGGCAAAAGAGCACCTCAATGACCAAAGTATTACGAAAATAGTATTTTGTACTTCGTGCTGGTTAGTTTAATGCTTCCTCAATCGTTGTGACAGGTTTGACTAGTCATCAGCCTTCTCCCAATGGCTAAGAACCAGGCTGTATTTTGCTATTTCAGATTGCGATGATCAAGCCACTAGCAGAGATTTCAGAAAGGCAACCAGCAGCTTTTAGATTCTGAGATGAATGAGAAATTGGGATTCAAACTATTGCTAATACACAAATATTCAGGCTCTATTATAAGCCTTGGAGGTATATATATTTTAATATTTTATATTTATTAATATTATTTCTAACAGACTCATGAGTTCAACTATATTATTAATAACAATATTAATAAAAATAGCAAATGTTAATAAGGGACAAACTAGACATTTAAAGTATATTCAAAAGTTGTTTCTCTAGATTATAGGAATAAAAGTTGGAGAATCTATAAAACTATTGTCATTTTAGTCACGCCACAGATGAAGAATATTTAGGTCTTAGTCATATTTCTGCCTCCAATCCCAGCAGATTTTATCACCAATCTTCAATGCCAATTGAATGGGGCGGGGGGCGCTTTTTGGTATACTTCAAGTTCTGATCTAGGGGTTATTTACAGATACAACTAGGAATGAAAACACTCAGTGAATAATAATTTCAAGACACAGACTCCCTGGGAACAGGATATGAAAGTGAAATTCATTCTGACTCCATGTAGACAGCCCACTAAGGGCCAAGACCATGGGTGTGGGGGGGGCGGCGGGGGGGGCACATAGTGACACATCCTAAAACACAAGGCTGGACTGGCCATTTCCAAAGAGGTGCCCGTGTCCTGGGGACAGCAGGCTCTCTGAGATCACGCTCAGATGGTTTTGTGAAAACCAGCTTCAGAACTCCGATTTCCGTACATGCACTTCTCTTCAGCTCCCTGCCTAAGGGAGCGGATGAGATCGAAGCATCATGCCGGGTCCACCATCCCGGTTCCTCTCTCCTAATCAATCACCCTTCTCCCCGTCCACACAAGTCCGAGCCTCCCCCAACTAAAATCTCGCTATGGGGAGACCTAAGAAAGACTTGGTTCCAATTACTGATGCCAGTGGAGCCACCTGAGCAAGGCCCCATAAACCCAGAGAGGGCTTTGTACTGAATACATTTCTATTCAAGGGAGCTTGGCATTAGAAAAAAGGTATTTTGACAGGTGTTGAGATGTGGTGAATTCACATTTTTCATGCAGTGAAGGGACAGAAGTGATGGCAACTTTAATTTAACCACCCCGTTGCTTCTACCCCCTGAAAATTGTCAAATAGACTCCTTCTGAGAGAGCGCCCAGTGAGAGCAGAGCGCAGAGGCCGCGGGCCGGGACAGAGACGTCGGCAGTGTTTTGTTTCACCAGGTGGGAAATGCAGGCACCGGTCACACTCGCACGCACCGGCTCTAACAGAATTTCGGAACGAGGAGGTAGCCGTGGGATGCATCTGAATACATGGATTTGATTTGAAAAATGAACTTGTACTTTTTTCTGACACAAAACAAATCTGATTTGGCTGATCTGACCGTGAGGACTGGCCTTGCCAATTAGATTATAGGCATTTCCTACCAACTAAATGAGTTATGTACTGAAAATATATTTAGAGCATATGATAAAGTAATTTTATTTTTAAAAAACAGACAAATCTCCTTGTGTTCTGTGGGCCTGAATTGGACCCACACACGGAAACAGGGTTGGGTCGTTTCTAAAAGGGCCCCATCAGTGTGGGTTTCCTGCTGGAGGACAGGGCAGCCTCCGGGAAGGGCTGGTCACCAAGAGTTGTGTGTGGAAGTGGGAGGGTCTTTATGAGCAGCGGGCTGGAGAAGAGGCAGCAGGCAGGACCTCAGTGGTGTTATCTTTGAAAAACCCATCAAGTAAAGAATCCATCACTGGCCAAAGTCACACACACAAGACATGAGGACCAAGGACACCTGCCCAGCCTCTCCCACTCTCCTCACCAGCTCCCACGGAGCCAGAGGCAGCCAGTTGGATGGGGAGAGACAGAAACACAGAGTGAGGAAGCAGAGGGGACGGGGATCACACCCCCTCTCCATACGGCTGGATTTCAGACCTAAAAACAGCTCGAGCTGAGGACGGGAGACATTTTAAATTGAGAATACACACTTAGGTGACTGTGACATGCGGCTGCTCTCGTGACTAGAGAAGTACCAGAGGAGTTACTTATCTGAGTGGCTGGAAGAGTTCTAGTCCCACTCAAGGCTTCCCCCGTGGCATTTCATCAGAGGGCTGGGAAGTTCTCAGATGGCATTTTTATAGGTCGCAAGGGACAGATGAGTAGACACTCAATTACAGATTTTTTTCATGTGACTTAAAAGAAAGTTTGGAGCAACCACTGGACCCTTACAATGTATCAAGACACTGGAGAATGCTAGGAAAGCCATATTCAATTGGCAGGAAAATGTACAAAGGAACCCTGGTAAACCATATTTTAATCATTAAAGTCAGTAAAATAACAGAAGATCAAGTAAGTGCTACATAAAACAGAGGGGAAAAAAGTCTTAAAACAAATTATTTGATTCCACTTGACAAACCTCCAATGAAATAACAGAAATCATGCAAATTTGCTGTCATCCTCTTGCAGGAAGGAAAAAAAAAACAATCAAGAAAAAAACCTAACTAATGAAGACATTTCAATATTACAATGATCAATCCCCAAATGTACCTCAAGTCGTTGCACGTGCAACATGGGGGATCCTACGATGACCGCCACCAGCCAGACCACACCTGTAAAATGTTAACATCATCAGAATATGACTGAGTTAAGCAAAATACATCCCTGCTTAATTCACTAACCATACGGGCTCCTTATAGCCAGTGTATCCCGTCCCCTCCCCGCTGGGACAGTGCAATCGTCTCCTTATGTGTTCTTGCCTCCACCTTCTCACTATCCTCAAAATTGCTGCTGAAATGTCTTCCTAAAACATGCTCTAAATGTTTAAAACTCTTTCATAGTGTTCCGTTGCCTGTAAGATAAAACCCAACACCCTGTCGCGGTCCCTGAGGCTCTCTACAAGCCCACTTGCCTCTCTCGCCCCTTGTATATTTCAATCCAAGTTCTTCATGCTGAGTCCTCTACTGAGGACCTTACAGAGTTGGTTTCAGTGCCCATACCCCAGAGCACATTGTGCTGCTCCCTGCCTCCAAGTTGATACCCTGCATTGGCACCCTTTCCCCAGGGTCTACCTGTGGCCTCGTTTTTCAGGGCTTGGCTCAGCAGTCACCTTCTCTAGGAGAGCTTTCGAGGCACACACCCTTTCCAGATAAAACTGACCACCTGAATTTTCCCAGGAAAATTCCTGGCCCTCAGTAGGTGCTTGATCAGCAAAAATGTGTTTGTTGAATGAATGAGTAACTTAAACATGATATAGATCACCCTCTAAAATTTCTTCTTAAAATTGAAACTACATCCATTTTAACCACCATAATATGGGCATTACTTTCTCACTTACAAAGCAAACACAATATCAGAAGCCAGAGAGTTTGTTGAGGGAATTGCTCTAATAACGTGTCATTAGCAAGGAACAAGAGAGAATCCTCACAGCCTAGGATGCGGCCAGAACCAAGAGCCCCAACACTGATTTGGAGGAAAAAAATTCCCAGCTCAATCTCGGCTTGTTCTTTCTATACTGAGTGGAACCATTAAGAAGACAATGCGTTGCCTTGGGTTTCAAGGAACTAAGACTCACTTAAGCCACAACTTGGGGTTTATTATAAAGAAACACATGAACTGGCACTGCCTATAGAAAGTCTTTATGATTCAGTGATGCAGGATAATTCTAAGGCTCCCAAATGTCTCTCTCTCCATTGCCATGTACATCTATTCTAGCCCAGTAAGATAATGATCTTACTGGGTTACCTTATGTCCAGTCATTTGTCTAGTCTTTAGTAGAAATTCTGGAGTTGAGTCTAACTGGCTTAGCTCACTGCCAATCCTCCGGGGCCCACTGCCCGTTCAAGGAAAGAAGGGCTCAGGTGGGTGAACATTACTGATAGGACCTGTGGTCACCGCTGGGCACGGCAGTCTAGCAGGTCTTGCTGGCTGGGGCCCGGGGGCAGGCAGTCTCCGCTGGAAGGAGTTGCTGGGTGTGACAGACACGCCGTTCAGTGTGACAGCTTCAGGGACACATCAGGCGGCGCTGCACAGAAGCCCCATGGGAGATGTCTATTTGATTTAAAATCCTGCCTGTCTCCTATGACTTCTTTGAGTATGAACTGCCTTGACTGCCTATTCTCAACTTGGCTTTCAGTTGTGGGGACCCCTTCTGCTTCTCTTTCTTATTTTTTAATAACTCCCTTCCATCAAGCACTCCTTCCCTCGCCCTCCTTCTACAATCACACGCTGTTTTCAGATGTTTTGATGGTAGAAGGTGGTCAATTATTAAAAGCCAAGAGGTCTTTGAATTCTTTGTAGGAAGGATGTGACATGAATTTGAAGCTAACTAAAACTGACCGTGCCCTCCCCCGCCCTCCTCCCAACTGGTTTATCTATTCATGTCCAAGTATTTTAAATGAGTCTGGCATCACAAGGCCTTCGGGAGTTCATCCTGTCATTTTACGATCCCATGCTGGCTAAATTGTTACAGCAGAGAGACATGTTTACTCGTTGCTCTCAATGAGATGTTAGTAAAAATTGTTCTTTGTTATTATTGCATGAGTTGCTTCCAAAACCTCTGACTGTTTAGCTGTAAGACATTCACATCAAGGTGAGGCACATTGAAGTTTTTAAATGGCTTGATTATAATTATAAACAGAGAAATTGTTCCGTTTTACTGTGCTGGGCCCTAGGATGCTGCTTCAAGTTTAGCATTTATCACAAGGTACGTGCTCATCAGGACCGATTCCAGCAGCTGAGGACTCAGGAATGCCTGAAGCAAAACTGCTAAGAGGATGGGACGTGTCTGTCAGGCACCTCGGCACCCAGTGTGCTCATGGGCCCTGTGGCCGCCTGCCATCGTGAACTCACCCCCAGGGTCACCTCCGTTCTCCATTTTTCTAAGAACACCTTTCTTGCCCCCTATCAAAGTCTGCCTCCCCTAAAAAGGGCATCTTGGCTTAGAGGTCTCTGAGCTAATAAATGTCACTGTGGCAATGCCACCGATGGGCTACCTTAGATCAGCTGAAATGCATGCTTAAAAGCTTAAGACTTAAGTTGAAGAAGTAAGTCTGAAATGAGAGAATTTCAGTGCTGGGGTGGGCCGGAAGGGGACATGGGCTGATGGTGGGGGTAAATGGGGGGAGAGCTGGACCCTTCAAATTACACCCCAGCACCAGCTAGACCAGAAGCTACTCCCCAGTGTATCAGTGTGCTTCACTGTGCATGAATGCTCTGCTCTGTCCTGAAGAGCGGCACCCTTCCTGCTGAGGGCACATCCTCACCCAGCATGGTGAAAGCCCTCCGGGGCGTGTACTGCCACTTCATCTTAAAAGGATGCACGAGTCCCTGGTGCCTTTCCACAGCAATGCAGGTCATAGTGAGGATTTCGGTCACAACGGCAGTAGACTGGACAAATGGCACCATCTTGCAAATGAAGGGACCTGCAGCAAGGAAACAGGACAACTTATGCATCCGAAAGAACAAGAATATTCTATCAGTCTCTTCGTAATTATCACAGTTAATTAATTCTGAGTTCTAAAGTTTTATGTCTTTAATTACCTTTAGACACAAAATAATTGAGAAGTTGCGTTGGCTGGTAGTTTCTCTCCGAGTGGATTCTGAGTTCCTGAAGTACATATAATTATGTATAACAGCACAATGAAAGCACAAGTAAGCATCTGGCCATTGATAAGAAGCAGGAAAAAAAATCAATGAGACCCTCGACTGAGAAAAAGCAAAGTCAGTGTGAACAGGGCTCCTGGGATCTAAACTACAGGGTAATCTTTTAATTCCTTCCCTTTTGGTTCCCTGTCCAGTGATAACAAAGGAGTGATTCTCATCAAAGACGCCCACATTTCTTCTTTTATCTTTTATTCTCCTTGGACTTCCTGTCTAAGACTTTACATTGGGATTACACCATTCCGCTCTTAAGCCCTAGCCAAGATGCGGTCAGCGTCGTATTTTTTAACTGTCTGAACGCACTGCCAATATTTTTCAACGTTTATACGATCTGACTTGCACCTTCACCATCTGCACGAGTATCTGTGAGCTCTGGTCTGACATCTCTGCTCTAGAATCCATCCTCCTCACGGCTACCGAATTATTACACTTGATTTGAACTCTTTGAGAATCATTAGCTCAGGGAATATAAAAAGGTGGCAGAGACCTCAGAGGTCATGTAGTCCAAGCTGTCGCCAAAACGGAAATCCTCCCTTCACCTTCTCTCCCAAATGTTCCACCAAGCTCTGCGGACAAGGCTCCCTTCCCCACCTCAGGCCTTCGCGTGGCTTTTCCTCTGCTTGGAATGGTCTCCCCCAAGCAACCCCCTCACCTCCTTCCCTGAAGCCTCTCTCAGACGGCACCTTCTCAACAAGGCCAACTTACTCAACAAACGTATTTGTCCCTGCAGCCATCCCCCTTTCCTTTCCACCTCCTGTCATTCCTCATCTCGCTCATTTTACTCTTATAACTCTTTCACTTTCCAACATACAATCTAATTTACTGACTTGTCTGTTTGATTGTTGATTGACAGTTTCCCTACACCTACCAGAATGTAAATACCACAAGAGCAAGAGTTTTTGTCTGCTTTTGGCACTGACGTACCCCACGCATTTGCAGTGGCACACGGAAGGCTCTCGATTGTCATTTAATCAAAGGGAACGAGTGACAAGGAAAGAGGTTCTTAACCTCTAAAGGTGCCTCCATTCAACTCTGAGACGCTGTCACTGGAAAAAGCACTTTTCAATAATTCCACCCACTTCCTCTAGCTTTCCTTTCACAGAGTTTCAGAACTAACCAACGATCTTTTCCAAACAGCAGCTCTTCATATATTTGAAAGAAGCTTTCGTGTCATGCTAAGTCTTTTCAAGTGTCCCTCACTGGTCATGGTCCAGTGCCAACCCACCATGCTCAGGATGTGGTCTGGCTGAGGCAAGCACCATAGGACTGTATTGTCTGCTGGGGTCTGCACACCCTCTTCTGTGACTGCAACTGAAACTTACATCAGTATTTTGTGGTAGAATTTTCAAATGGTTGATTTCTGTTGAACTTGAAATGAACGGGTCCATTTAATAGAAAATTTCTGTTCATCCAAGATTCCTATGACTAAGGGGGGAAAAGTACGTAGCTATCGCTCTAGATATTCCCTTTCCAGTTGTCCTTGGAAGTTCCAAGAAGCAACCCCAGAGCCAGTCACACCCACTCCTATCCTCTGTTCTACTTCCACCAAACTCAACCCGTTCAGAGTCAAGGCCCTTCCTAGTTCAGAAGATAGTTTAGACGCCAAGTGGGGGGGTTTGCTTTCAATACTAATATACAGAGGGGGCCAAAAAGAGCACACATGTTTTAAGAAAGGAAAAAACTATTAAAATTGTAATACTCCATATATACCGATAACAAAAGATGAATACAAGTCACATTTGACTTCTGCAATTACAAGAGGTGCTCAAAGTGGTTCCCATCAGCGCCCAGGCACTTCTGATGACGGCGAACTACTTCTTGAGCAATGCTGACCAAAGTGTCCACTTGTGTACATTTTTTTGGCACCCCCAGTATTTCAGTTTGAATATTGATCATACTGTGAATGAATTAGCTTACCTCAGGATGTGATACTTGCATAAATAAATATGTGAATAAATTATTCATCTGGGTAGTTCTTTTCCTTGAAAATTTGATCAGAATTTCTTCTGTTCTTTCAACCAAATTGTTTACAGTTGCACAGGCTAAGGTTAAAGGAAACCCAGACGAAACTTTCATGAAATGGACATGGATCCATTATCAACACATTTTAGGCGTAACTATCCAAACAAATCAGAATTCTTATTGTGTGCTCATTGTGGTGTTCTCCTTGTAGCGTTATCCATCCTAAGTATATTGAATTGACCCTATGTATGATCATAGTATGGGAGATTGCTCACCTGTTTCCCGGATATAAGACACCCCTGATCCTGATTCTTCTGATCTACTAGTTGGCCACTTGGAACCTCAGTTTCATCATTTGTGAAGAGGGGTTAACAGTGCCCACCTGTCACATGAGCAGTTCACACAAGAACATAGCACCCAGAATGGCGTGTGTTCTTTACAAATGTCAGCTATTGTCTCATTGGACAGCCTGATTAAAAGAACTGAGGGGAATTTGGTACATTTGAAGCTAATAGATTGTTTGTGGTTAAAGTGCCCATAAAGGACATCCAGTTCTATAACCTGGTGTCCTAGGTAAAGATACTGCAGCTCAAAGGCGTTAAGTGATTTGCTCACATCCACACAGCTGTGTCCTAACAGAATGAGGCCATGAGCCCAGGTCATCTGACTCCAGCTCTTTCCACTGCCTCAGCCTCACTTGTCTTGATGGACCCATGCGGTGTGGCAGTCTCCTTGTCTACATGCTCATGAATCGCCTGTGTAATAATCCACTTGGGAATAATCCTCTTAGGAATGTTGCACCAAACCACAGTTCTATAATCAGTTACCTCGCCCTTTGTATGCAACCAGGCAGCATTCGCCTAGTTCATTACTTCTGACATTTATTTCTCCAGCCAACTTTCTAAGAAACTCCTAAGTGTTTCCTTGATCACATCTCCAAGTTTCGTCACTATTATGGCATGTAATTCTATCTGAGCTGAGGATCTGAGTTCTTTTAAAAATTGGTAGGTGTTCTTTTGCTCTCTACTCACTTATTGTGGATCTTTGTTTTCATTCTAACCATCTTTGCTTTGTGCTTTTAATTACGGAGATCACTTTTCAAGGTCTAAGAGACTGAAGCAAAACAGGCATTGAAGAGTTTGGGTTTTTTCTCTGCCCTTTACTAAATTTCTATCCCCACTCCTCTGTTTTTAGCTCCTTGTTCTGGCAATCTCTCTTATAACTCTCCTTCCACACTTTAGCCAGCCCAGTGTGAACTGTACAGGTCTAAGCTATTTTGCAAGAATGTGCGCTTTGTGACATTTTTTCCCATGAATGAAAATTCAAAACTGGGATAATCCTAGAATTCTTGGATTCTGTTTTCTTGAGATATCCTTCCCTTTTCCTCTATGGGTGTATCTGTTTTAATGTGAGGGTTGTGTTTTTCAGAGTCTGCCTGAAACGGCCATTTCTCATTTTGATTGTCCATCATCCACCTGCATCTCCTACCAGCAACACAATTTCCCCCATGTGGGCAGGTGAGGTGAGAGCCCCTCCTGCTAGGGAAGACAAGGCAGGGCCAGGGCCAGGCCTTCCAGTGTGGGGAGGGCGCAGCGAGGATGGAAGGGAGCTTGGAGCTGGTGCCTGCGGCCCCGTGCTCACTAGACTCTGAGTGTCGACAGACCACAGTGGTCACTGCTGCTGACCTCTGAGCACCCCTGGTGCCTGCCTGTTCCTCCAGCTTCACACTGATCCTGCGAGCCTCCAACGTCCTTCCAGAACATTTCCTTCTCTTAGGCTATTCAACCACCAACGTCGCTCATAACCAAGTAAATGTACTTGACATTTCTCTTTTATCACCTTTTCTCTGGAAGGTAGATTTCCTAAAATGTAGGAACGCTGATCACTGTCTCTTCTGTGTGTCCTGTGAACTCTAAGGTGACACAGCCCAAATCCTGCCCTACAGTTTGCCTCCATCACTGCTTCCATTGCCACTACATCTGACTCCTGCACAGAAAACTACAATAATTCTCTTTTGCCCACTGGATTCCAAATAAATGCTTTGGTTTAATATCATTGCTTCTCCTTCCAACCTTGGCTTGTTTATACAGTTTTATTTCTCATAATGTGAACTCCTTGGTTTGGACACGAATGGTGTCCACTGTCCTAGCTAACCCCCACCTTCACCACTTATCACACACAGTGCAGGTCTCCGTGATTCAAATGGAAACAAGACCTCATTATTCCTAAATATGATGCTTGGAAATTGAAAACAATTTGGCCAGTATTTGTTTTCACCCTAGTGGAACAGTGACTTTCAAAAGGATCCAGGTGTAAAGGTCAGAGTAAAAAGAACAGAGTATTCATATGTACAAAAGACTGAAAGCATTCTTTTATTTAGAAAATGGTATGATGAGCTATAATTGCATAAAAGTAACTAATGATGATAAACACTCTGTGAAGAATTTGTTCCAAGGTTGGTAAAACAAACGAACAAACCAAAAACGTGAAAGGACATTTGCAGTTTTATAAAGGAAAGGCTACTTTGTACAACCACTACATGATGGTTTAATATATTATTGAACAATCTGGCACCTAATTAAATTACCTTAACTTCCTGTACCAAAAAAACAAGCCATAGTTAAACAGCTGATGCATCCTGTCCCAAATTACTCTGGAAGTTTCTAACTTTGTCCAGCACGCTCCTTCAGCAGCTGCTAATGACCAAATGTACCAAATCTTGAATTCCACCTCATTCCCCTCAACCACATCCTTAGAGTAGAAGAGTGGGGAACAAATCAGTCAAAATCAAAACTGTTGT